TGAACAGAGAATGAAGGAGTAGTCAAAGGAATAGAATGATGAAGTAAGGAAGGGTAGTAGTAAGAGTCAGTATACATATAGTCTATAGACAGTACTCCTAAGGGACAGAAGTCCCAAGTTCTGGTACAGAAGGGTGTAGAACTCTCAGAACTGAAGGTACAGGAGTAGAGAATTGTAACAGAAAATCCTACAAAAATACAACAGTAAGGTATTATTACTCATTAGATAGGATTAGACAATGAAAGTAAAGGCCATAAAACTTGGCACAATAATAAAATTACTATCAAACAAAATATTCAATTTCTCAAAGGTAAACCTCCTCAAATTGAAGGGGAGAAAATAGACAATACAAACAATAATACAAACAAGTGTTTAATAATTAAAAATAACAAAACAGACAATAGAATAACAAGAACAGACAACAATGATACAGACAACACTGATCCTAACAAAAAAGGAAAAGCAGCAGAACTAACAGACTTAATGGATGACAAAGTTAAATTAACTGAAAAAGAAGTAGAACCTAAATTACATCAATTGGAACAGAAACAGAAACTAACAGAATGTACTATCAAGCTTGAACAATGTATGGAGAATAAATGTATAACAAAACACATGTATACACTTAGCAAAAAGGATGAAGATAATATTGCCATTCATTTAACAGAATTTAATACTAAAATAAGTGAAATACAATTGGATCCAACTTCATTTTATAAAGCAATCCAATGTCCAGATTGTGATTCATAGATTGTAGCTATGAAAGACAAAATAAAACAATTAGAAAATCATAATACATGGGAAATCACAAATCCACACAATAATATTAACATTATTGGAACACAATTTGTCTATAAAATAAAGCAATACACTAATAATAGTATAGAAAAATATAAAGCACAATTAGTAGTTTAAGGAAACTATCAGATTGACAGCCTTGACTATCATACAGACAATTTATTTGCTTCTACTGCTAGACTATCTATAGCATGATTAATATTAGTATGGGTAGCATCTAATAATTATGAAATACATTAGATAGATATAAAATCAGTATATCTGTATAGACAATTGATGGAAGACAAAGAAATATATGTTAAACCTCCTCCAGGTAACTTAATAGACAGATTACAGAATGGACAAATATTACAATTACAAAAAGCACTATACAGATTAAAACAAGCTGGTAGAAGATGGTATAAAACACTATCTAATATACTACTTAAATACAGATTAACAAAATCCAAACATGATAACACTGTATTCTTTGTAAAGAAGAAAGAAATAACTGTAGCCATATTATTTGTACATGTTGACAATATTACTATTGCAGCAATGAATAATAATACTATTGTAATGATAAAACAATCTATTGTATGTCATTTACAATATACAGACAGTAGTGAATTACACTGGCTACTTAGTATAGAGATTCAACACAACAGAGAGCATAGATTCATCAGGATGCATCAGACACATTATATTAATAGTATAATAGAATGTTACAAACTTACAAACAAACAAAGTGTACAAACACTCATACAGCCTAGTACACAATTAAAAACAGTATTGCAAACCAATAACAATAGAAAACAAATGTCTGATATACTATACATGAACATGGTTGGCACACTTAGATACATTACAGACTGTACACAGCCAGATATAAGCATTGCAAACAAAATCAGTTAGCAAAAA